TGAGCTGGTGCTCACAGGTTTCTCAACCTGGGTGGGGTGAATCCAACAACTCAGCTAGAGGGTGGCAGGGCGCAGGGTCTGGGGAGTCCTGTCCTGTGTGGGGCTGAGAGAAGGGCCTTGTCTCTGAAGGGGCATGGGGAGGTCCTCCACAGGGCCACCTGTGCCCACCCGCAGTCTGCTCGGTTTAGAGCAGCTGCTGGGTGCTGAGCCATGAGCTCAGGAAGGCTTCTGAATTTCCTGAGAAACACGCTGCACTCCTCGCATGGGGGTGTCTCCAATTCGAACCCCATCAGCTCCACACTCACCCCCACTCCTACCCTCCTGCCCGCACCCCCAACTCTGAAGGCAGAGCCTGGGCCCCAGTGGCCAGGGCCCCCAGGCTAGGCTGGCAGGGGCTTAGGGTCTTGCCAGCACCTCACTTCCTCAAGATCCTTCCTGGGGGGCACCCAGAGCTGGCTCAGACTTCCCTGGGGAAGGGCCTCCGGGAGGTCCCAGGGAAAGGTCAGAGCCCCACTACTCGGTCTCAACAGTGACAAGTTCTGGCTCTTCCTCTGGGAACTATCTCAGGATGCTAGAGCTGGGTGGGCACATCCCAGCCGCACCTCAATCTGGATTCCCTGCCTCACCCCCACTCTGGGGGCCAGAGGGGCGCTGCAAGGCGTCTCTCCCAAAGCCAGGATGAGGCCTCCCCCAGAGGACTAGAGGCTCCCTGACAGACATCGGAGGTGGGGCTGGGCACCAGAAGCCAGGGGACAGGAAAGAGGAGGAGGAGGGAGGGGTTGGTACTACCCGGCTGTGGGGGCAGGGGAAGCAGGTCTCATTTAATAAGCCGCAGCACCCCTCGCCCAGCCCCCTCAGCTCTGGCGAGCCAGCCTCCTCCACGGAAGCTACTCTTTGTTAACAGTGTTGCCATGGCAACGGGATCCAGGGAGAACTCTCTCTTCAAGGTAGAGTCTGAGGGTGACACTTGGAGAAGCGGAAGTGGTGACAGCAGGCCAGGCCTGGCCTCCCACCCCACCCCGCCGCTCCTCTCCAACCAGGCCGTCCCGGGACTGCAGCCCCTTGGCCTGTGACTCCGCTCTCCTCCCTCCTCCCTCTCTGCCCTATCACGTACATGGCTCCCAGACCTGCCTGGTCCACGCATACGGCTGCCATGTTGGAGTGGGGGGTCTGGTTGGGCCCGTAGACGAGGCCTTGGCTGGGCTCCCTCCCAAACAGACCAGTACTCAGGGCAGGGTGCGAGAGAGCCAGGGCATCCGTGCCCAGAGACACACCCAGGGAAGGGTGGGAACAAACAGGGGAAGGGGTGGGAGAGATGGGGGGGTGGGGCCAGACAACAAGTAAGGCTGTGGCAGAGGCATAAGGGAGCCGCCAAAGAGCCTCCGCTCATGGGCAGCCCAGGGTGGCCAGTGATGCTGGTGGGCTGTCTGCAGGGCACCAGGGCTGCAGGGCACTAGGGCGGTATCGGGCATCCCAAACTTGACTGGAACAGCGACAGCGTAGAGGACAGGCTGCACTGACACTCTGCAGGAGGGAACAGAAGCCATGACTGAGGGGGGCAGAGGGTGGAGGTGCCAGTCAGGAGGGATGGGGACACCGGGTGGCCAGGACAGCAAGGTGACAGGACATGGCCTGGGTGGGGCCCGCCCCCCCGAAACAGGGCAGGAGCCCCTGTGGGGCTGGAGCTGGTCTCTGCAGACCGTCTCCCTGCAGTGGAGGGGGTGCCAGATTGGAGGGGGCTGGATGAGTGGGAAGTGAGGAAGTGGGGTGAGCAAGCTGAGAACAGGGCTTCAAAGCCAGCAGCAGGGGAGGGAGGGAGGGAAGGAGGGAGGGAGGGCGCAAAATAGCCGGAGGGGAAGCCACGGGCAGGAGAGGGGCACGCTGTGCTTCTGGGAAAGCAGCATGGCCACCTCACCTCCGAGGCCAGGGGCAGGGACCCCTCAGGACCCCTGGCCATGAGGAAGTGCGACGGGAGTGCCCAGGCCCCCCCCTCCCCCCATGGCCAGCTCTCAGTGCCACAGCTGACCTGCGTGTCCCGTGTCCCTCTCTGAAAGTCTCGGCCTCTGCTCTCCCCGGCCCCCAGCCCCTCGGGGGTCTGGGGGACAGGCTCTGCTCTCTGGAGGAACCCCCGGTGCCAGCCTGTCAACTGAGGTGCCAGGCACTTCCCAGGACGGATCCTGGGGTGTTGCCCAGAACCACACTCTTGCGCCCTTCGGGAAAGCTTTTCTGGAGAGGGGAGTGAAGCCCTGGGCCCACCTGACTTTGGACCCTCAGAGAGGGCAGCTACAGCAGCGTGCAGTGGAGCCCAAGGGTGCCCCTTCGCCACCTCCGCCAAGCCTCTCCCCCGCCCAGGGAGCCCCACTCCTCTGCCCCAGGAAGCCAGGACATGCTTTAGGTTTCCCATGCCCCTGCCCGTGATGTCTGCAGACCCCTCACCCTCCTCCAGGTGGTTAGACTGCTGACCTCCCTCCCCCAGCATAGGGACACTGGGCGTGGATAGCCAAGCCAGAGGCATCTCAGGTGCCTTCTTGGCCACCCCTATCCCAGGGCTCTGTGCTCTGAAAAGGGGGCTGATGCACCCCTCCCAAACCTCCTCAGGTTGAGGGGGCCAGACAGGAGGGCCGCAGACCCCTGCAGTTTCCCTGCCAATGGCACTTGATGATGTGAGGCCTCGCCCTGCCTCAGCCTCAGATTCTGCCTGCAAGCGTGTTGCTAAGTAAACAGTCAGCCGCCCGCAGGAGGGAGGTGGGCAATGGAGGGCAAAGGCAGAAGCCAGCGGCAGCCCGAGTGGGTGGGAGACGCAGGAGGCAGATCTCAGCTCAGCATCTTGAAAGCTCAGGGAGAAAAACAGCTCAGGCAGCAGCGGTACCCGGCCAGAGGGGCTGGAGCAGATGGCCTCAAGCAAGGGAGGGGGCAGGAAGGGAGGCAGCCCAGCAGGGGCCGCAGGGGGCCCAGCCCGCACCAGGGCCACACCGGGGCAAGACCACCAAGACCCTGGACCCCTCCAGCTGGCCCTGAGGGACCAGGGCCCAAAGGACTGTCTTCTGGGCTAAAGCCACCCACCAAAGTCCCAGCCTTCAGCCAGCCGGCTCAGTAGGTTGTGCTTCGACCTCCACCCCCGCCCGGACCCCCGCCTGGACCACTCTAGCCAGCTCTCTGACCAACGTGGCTTCTGCTTGAGATGGGAATCTGCAGTGAAAACACCCGAGGCCAATCACAGCCATCGCTTTCCCAGTTTGCTCCATAATGCTACAAGTGGGGGAGACAGGTGTGCTGGCCGACCCTCAGCCTTGCAGGGCACCCAGCCCCTCCCCTGAATCCCAGCCTGCAGATTCACTGGGGGGGCGGGACTTTCCCTGGCCCCTCCCCCTGACTGAGGGCCCAGTGAGGGATGCCCTCTCCCAGCTGCTGGCCTGCTGGGGTCTGCCCCTTCCTCCTGCTGCAGCCTCCCCGCCTGCAGTTGCTAAGTTACACCAAACCCCTGCGCAGTGTGAACTGCTCCATTTCCACAAGCTGCCAGGTGGAAGGGAACCATCGGGTTGGCAGTTCCAGGATGCCCCCCCATCCCGCCCTACACAGACACACACAGGAGGAAGCAAACTCACTGGCAGGCTTTCCGCCCCAGAGCACACCTGGGGACACCTGCTTGTGCTCCCCAAACCCAGAACTATGAACAAGGGCACCCTGCTTCACCCAGCGGCCCTCAGACAGGATCCATGGGAGGTTCCCTAGCATGCAGCCCCCTCTCAGGTCCTTGTGCTACCCCCACACAGCAGATGGCTGTTGGTCACTCTCACCCAGGCCCCTAGGAGCACAGAGAGGCTGGGAAGCTGAGGCGACCCTGGTCTCCCAGGGCCTCTACGTCCACTGCACCTCTTCCTCCCGTTCGGGTCGGAGTTCCAAGGGGAAGCATCCTGGGGGAAGGCCCTCAGGAGTCACTGAAACCTTGCTGTCACTCTCCATCTGGGGAAACCGAGATGGAGGTCCCTGCAGTTTGCCCACCTCTATGGGATCCCTGGTCCCAGCAGGAGCTGCCGCTCTGCTCCAGGCTTCTTCAGGGCAGGGCAGGGCCTGGTCACAGTCGAGAACGGGAGGGCAAGACTGTCCAGGGGGAGACGTGAGAACCTAAAGGGGATGCAGACCAGCACCCCGGTGGTCCCCCTACTGCAAGCCAGCCTGACTCCGTGTCCTGTGCTGCTGGGCCAGGTGCCATCTTGCCCCACAGGGAGGGAGCAGCATGACAGCGGTGATGAGGATGAACCAAGGGGAGCGAGGGGCTTTCGCAGGAAGGAGGGGGCGCGGCCGCCGCCACCTCTCAGCCCCCCAGGCTTCCCAGTAAATAAGGACCCGGTCCTGTGAAGAGATGCTTAGGCAGCAGTTCCCTACACACACACACACACACACACACACACACACACACACACACACACACACCCCATCTTCACCTGCACAGACCACGGTCCTTCAAATGACCCTAGCCCACGGTGCCAGTGCGGGCGTCTCCCACCGACCCGCGCTCCCCAACGCTGGGCTCACGCACTCCTTCCTCCCCGCCCCCAGCAAGGACGTGCGAAGCCCCCGCGGGGCCCCGGAACGCGGACGAGCAAATGGAAACTTCCAACTGCGCAGCCCCGAGCTCCTCGGGTTCCCCAGCCCCCGACCCCCCGCGCCGGCCCGGGCCAGCGATCCCACGAGCCAGTGCCCACGCCCGCCGGCCCAGTGCGCTCCCGCCACGCCCAGGCCGCGCCCGCGCGCAGCGGGGACCCCGCAGGGGCGGGAGACGGGGCGCGGGGAGGTGGCCGGGGGTCCCGGCGCCCCGCAGCCCGGGGCGGAGTTCTCGGCAACTCCGCGCGCCTCGGCCGCCCCGGCCCCACGACGGCCGCGCCGGGCAGGACCCCGGGCCGGCGCACGCCCCGCCCTGCCCACGCGCGCCCCCGAAGGGGACGGCCCGCACCTCGCCGGGAGGATCCGGGGCGCGGGGCGCCGGCGGCCGCTCCTACCTCGCTCCGGGCCGGCGTCGCTCCCGCGCGGCCCTCGCGCCGCAGTCGGGCCCCGAGCAGCGCGCGGCCGGCGCCGGCGGCGGCTCATGCTCGGAGCCGGGGCCCGCGGCACCCGCCCACCCGCGGCCGCCCCCGCGCTGCGCCAGCTGCGGGCAGAGCGGCTCCTCCGCAGCCGGGGCCGGGGAGCGCGAGCGAGCGCGGAGCGAGCGCGGGGCGGGCGTGGAGCGGGCGCGGAGCGGGCGGGCGGGCGCGAGAGCGCGGGGAGCGGGCGGGCGAGGGCCGGGGGCGCCGGGAAGCGCCGGGTGCCGAGCGGGCTCGCGGGAGGGGGTGCGGGGCCGCGCCCCGACGGGGGCACGGGGCTGGGCGCGCGGGCCGGGCGCGCCGAGAGGACGGCGCTGAGCCAGGGGCCCGCGGAGACGGAGCGCGAGGAGGACGCAGAGCGCGGAGCGCGCGCCAGGCTGTTTTAGGAAAAAAACACAAGGATAGGGCCATGAACACCCTCCCCGCCCCCCAAAGTGATGGGGCCACCCCCAGTGGGAGACCCTTCGGGACTCCTGAGAGCTGCAGGAATTTCCGCGTTATCTGGGAGTGAAAGTACGTTCGTAGGCGAACGCTGCTTCTCTCTGGGCCCCACGACCACCCTTCTAAGTCTGGGCAGGGGCTTCCCACTGCGCACATGAGTACCCTGATGCGCAGGGCAAAGGAGGAGACCCTGGGAGAGCTCGATACCCCCCAAGCAGGATCCGCACCACTTAGACAGGTTCCAGGGTCCGGTTACCCCGAAACCACTCAAAAGCCGCTCCTAGTCTTCTAGTGCCCAAGAGCAGCCCCCCACGTCTTTGAAGGAACACCCCTATTCTCTGGCCAGACTCCAGCAATCCGGGGACCTGCAGACTGGAGGTGTCTGAGGGAAGAATGGGGAGGTGACCTTTGAAACCCCTGGAAAATGCTGAAGACTTCGTTCATTCATTCAGTACATTTGGGTGCTCAGGGCGGCCACGGGCCACTCCCGGATATATCCCGCCAACCAAGCTAGTGGGGCTCCAGGCTAGGACCCAAGAGGGAAGCTACTAAGACCTGCTGGCCAGAAGCTCCAGGGTCACCTCAGCAGCGCTAGGGGACCACCAGAGATACATAGGACCTCTGAGGCTATACAAGGTCATTTTTCTGGACCCTCTGAGGTGCTGGGGATCAAATCTGGGTCAGACACATGCACCCCAAGCCCCTATCCTATTGCCCCACCCTCAGTTCATAATTTTATAGGAGCCTCCACACCTGAAGAAGCAACTCCCTGCAACCCTCAGCCTGCAGTTCAAGCCTAATGGTTTGCTATTCAGCCAGGGATGCAATTATTGTGGCCAGAAAGATTGGGGGTCACCTTACTGTAGTGCGGGGTGGGGGGGGGGGCACCAGAACAGCATGCGGCAATGCGGCTGGAGGTGTCATATCATGTGGCAATAGAACTCAGGACTCCAGATCCATGCCCTCAGGCAAATCCCTCTTCAGGTTGTATTTATTGAGCAACTACTATATACCAGGTGCTATTCTGGGTGCAGAGATACATGTGCAGGTGTCTCTTTCTAGTTGAAATCTACATTATTTTGGAGGGGTGCAGGACTCCCAAATAGTGCCAGGAGACCTGAGGACTTTACCCAGCACCATTCAGTTAACTGGTAGTTCAGCTGGACCTGAGGATGCAGTACTGCAACCACCCTGGAGGTATATACGGACTCCTGGGCCACAACCTGTAATGCTCAGGAGACTGGAGATCAAAGAAGAGTCTGGCACAGTCTTGCATGCACCCTAACACCAGTGTCACCTCCCGATGCTGAAGTCTGCATTCTAGAGAGAGGCAGACAGAAAAGAAACACACAAGTGGACTGGAGTGATGGTACAGCAGGTAAGGCGTTTTCCTTGCACACAGCCGACCCGGGTTCAATTCCCCGCATCCCATATGGTCCCCCGAGCACCGCAAGGAGTAACTCCTGAATGTATGAGCCAGGAGTAACCCCATGTGCATCGCCGGGTGTGACTCAAGATGCAAAAAAGAGAGAGAGAAGAAAGAAACACAAGAAAATGCTTCATGTCTCCAATGATGCGCTGGAGAAGAACATGGCAGGGAGAGAGGACAGGAAGTGGCACCAGTGGAGTTAGCTGATTGATCTGGGCTGGCCAGGGTAGCCTTTGCTAGAAGGGTGCTGTCTGAGCAAGGACCTGGTCGAGGCAAGCCTTGATAATCTGGAGTGAATACTGAGGCCGAAGCAACACAAGTACAAAGGCACTGAGAGAGATTCAGAGGGAAGTGTGATGGTAGCAAGGAGAACAGAAGAGTGTGGAAGGAGGCGAGCAAGGGGTGGGGAAGGAGGGCAGAGGAGTGTGGCCGCCAGGAGAGATGCTGGGAGGTGCCCTCACAACGAGGTCAGGGAAAGCCTGGCTATCGATTGTGGCTTTCACACCAGGCCCTGCAAGTCCAGTGTAGGGTTTTGCAGAGCATTAAGGTATAGATTTTTTTAATTTACAAAGATATTGTAATATGGAAAATTTCAAACATTTTTCAAAACCAAATGTAAATGTAAAAAGGCCAATCGCCGAACAATTGAAACTGCATGGCTGATTTTGTTCCATCTATACCCCACCCCTCTCCCTATATTTGTTTGCATAAGTGAGCATTTATCAGTTTTTGTCAGAATAGTATACATAGGCAACAGTAGCACTGTAACACGGTAGCACTGTCGTCCCGTTGTTCATTGATTTTCTCAAGCGGGCACCAGTAATGTCTCCATTTTGAGACTTGTTGTTACTGTGTTTGGCATATTGAATACGTCACAGGGAGCTTGCCAGGCTTTGCCGTGCGGGCGAGATACTCTCAGTAGCTTGCCGGGCTCTCTGAGAGGGGTGGAGGAATCAAACCCAGGTCAGCCGCATTGCAAGGCAAACGCCCTACCCGCTGTGTTGTCACTCTGGCCCATAGGCAATAGTACACACATAATAAAGTTGAGTTTAATTTTTAGTGAGAATATTAATAACCATCTGCTCTTTGATTTTCACTATGGGAAGATTTTTAATTACAGATTTATTTTCTTTAGTACGGCTATTGTTTTGGGGAAGGGGGTCACACCCAGCGTTGCTCAAGGGTTACTCCTAGCTCTGCATTTAGGAATTACTTCTGGCGGAGCTCAGGGAAACATATGGGATGCGAGGGATCGAACCCGGGTCAGCCACGTGCAAGGCAAACTCGCTCTGGCCCCCCAAGTACCACATCTTTAATAGATACAGGATTATAATTTTATGTCAGTTTATATACATTGCGGTTTTTTTTCGGTCTGTGGGCCATATCTGGTGGTACTCAGGGCTTACTCCTGACTGTTCAGAGACCATTCCTGGCAGACCACTCCTGGGATCACATGAGGGGTTGGGGACCAGACTCAGATTGGCAGCATGCAAGAAAAGCACCCTATACCTGCTATGTTATCTCTTTGGTCGCCAAAAATTGCATTTTAAAAATTTTTCCATTTTGTCTAAATGATCAGATGTACCAATGTCCTTGTATTATTCCTCAGAATTGCAAAATATGTAGCTATGTTCCATTTTTCATACTGATAGGATCTTCGTGGTTTCCCTTTAATTTCTTGCTAATGTTTTTTCAGTTTTATTATATTTTTTCTAAATAACCTCTGTGAAATTTTCTCCATCATGTCTTCTCTCTTGTTGATACTGGCTTTGTGTTTTGTGATGGAGGGATAGTTATTTTCCTTTGAGTTCTTTTGGAAGGAGAGTTACTGTCTTTCATTTTTCATGACACTCAAGGATCATCCCTGGTAAGGTGCTCAGGAATCATTTTTGGTGTAAGGTAAGGTAAGGCCCTCCCGTTGATCGTCGATTTGCTCGAGCGGGCCCAGTAACGTCTCCATTGGAGACTTTGTTGTTACTGTGTCTGGCATATCGAATACTCTCGGTAGCTTGCTGGGCTCTCCGAGAGGGGCGGAGGAATCGAACTCGGGTTGGCCATGTTGGCCACGTGTAAGGCGAACGCCCTACCCGCTGTGCTATCGCTCCAGCCTTTTTGGTGTGGTGCGGGGGAAATATATGCTACTGGGGATCAACCCCAGGCCTTTATGTGCACAGCATGTGCTCCAGCCCTTTGAACTATCTCTTCTTCGGCTCCTTTTTTTCCCATTTCTTAAGTTGGAAATAAAGTTTATTTGTTCTCAACCTTCTTTACTAAATTCTTATAAAGCTAGAACTTTCCTTTTATGCACTGGTTTCACTATATCTGAAAAAATAATGATTTTATTATGATTTGGTTTCTGATATTTTTAAATTCCTGTTTTGGCTTATCTTTTCATCCATGAATAGTTTAGAAGAGAATTCTAAACAATTTCCAACTATCTGGGAATTTTATAATTCTTGGGGAACTTTCAGGTATTTTCTTGTTAGTGATTCCAATTTAGCTAAACTCCAAGCATAGATTATACTCTGATTTAATTTCTCTTAAAATCTGCTCAAACTTCAGCATTTGGTGGGGGCACACCACCTGTGTTCAGGGCTTACTCCTGGTTCTATGCTCAGGATCACTCCTGACAGGACTGGGAAACCATATGTGATGCCAGAAATTAAACTTGTGTCAACAGTGTACAGCAGATACCTCACCCTATGTACTATTTCTGCAGCCCCAACCCCATACACTCTGTGTGGTCTGGAATATGATTTATTTGGGCAAATGTCCTTTACATCCTTGAAAAGAATGAATACTCTGTAGACATCAGGCCAGGCTGGTAAATGAAGCTCTAATCTCTACTGTTACTGAATTGTATCTCATAATCTAGCAGTTCCTGAAACAAACAGGAAACAGCCTAAAGTCTTTCAGTGAATGAAGGGTCAAGCAAATGGTGACATATCCATATGATAGAATACTACTGAGCAACAAACATGAGTGTCTAATGCATTACATGAACAAAGCAAGGTTCAAGCTGCATGATTCCATTTATATATTACATGACATCGTGGGAAAGGCAACTGTAAAGACGGAGAACATGTCAGTGATCCCCAAGAATGGGGACAGGGAAGAGATTTGACTACAGCAGGGGGTGAATGTCAGAGGCCAATCTGTCCCTTGACTTGTTGCTGGGAATGGTGACATGACTCTGCATTTCTCAG